TATACACTCTGTTCTTTGTATCTCTCTCCTTCTCGAGCATTATCTATTCCGGATATTGCCTTTCTTGTTTCGTCATTACCGCCACCACTTCTGTTACTTGGCGATTTTAATGCCCATCATTTCCTCTGGGGGGATGTCTCACTGTGATTCCCGTGGCATTCAGTTAGAGGGTGTTCTTGCTTCCCACCCCCTCCATGTTTTAAATACAGGTACTCACACCCATTTTGATCCTCGTGCTCATACTCTCTCTTGCATCAATCTCTCAGTCTGCTCTTCCTCCACCGCACTAGACTTCACCTGGTCTGTTCTCCCAGATTTACATGACAGTGATCATTTTCCAATCATTCTTACTTCCCCTTCATATTCACCACCTCTTTGTAACACACGCTGGCAATTTGATCAGGCAAATTGGGACCTTTACTCTCGTCCTCAGTTTTAACTGCAGCTTCTCATTCTATACCCCAAACCCCAGGCAGGCATTCTCAGAAATGCATGCCTTGGTGGTCTCCTGCTTGTGCTCATGCAGTACGTTTGAAATGCACTGCGTGGGGCAGGTACTGGTACAATAGAACCACTGTGAGACTTCTTGATTTTAAGCAGAAGTGTGCGATCACTCGCCATGTCATCCGTGATGTTAAACGCACTTGCTGGCTAGATTATGTCTCCACCATCACCTCTGCTTCCTCTATGAGTGCAGTCTGGAAAAAAGTACAGAAACTGAGTGGTAAATATTCTCCTGACGCGGCTCCTGTTCTGCCTGTTGCCGGAGTTGATATAGCAAACCCACTAGATGTTGCCATTGAAATTGACAATCATCTGGTCTGTATTTTTCTGGGGCTCCATCTCTGCCCCTCGTTTCTTTCCTCAAAGTCTGCCAGAGTTAGCAAACTTGGACTTTTCTTCTCTCAGAGAAGAACAGTATAATGTGCCTTTTACACTTCAGGAACTGGAGGCAACACAGCAACACTATCAGCTTGCCGATCATCGACAGCTGGGCCCGACGACATTCATATTCATGTGTTGCAACATTTACATCAGTCAGCCCTTGCAGTCCTCTTACGCCTTTTCAATCTTATTTGGTCACAAGGAGTTCTTCCAAAGCTGTGGAAATCTGCCATTGTTCTCCCTTTCCGCAAACCGGGTACTACGGGACATGAAGCCTCCCACTATTGTTCCATCGCTCTTACCAGTGCAGTTTGCAAAGTGATGGAACATCTGGTAAATAGACGTTTAATGTGGTATTTAGAGACACACAACAGTCTCTCCATTCCTCAATATGGCTTTCGTAAGGGTCGTTCTACCATAGACCCCTTACTACGCTTGGATACATATGTTCATAATGCCTTTGCGAATAATCACTCAGTTATTGCCATATTTTTTGACCTTGAGAAGGCATATGACACAACTTGGAGGTATAATATTTTGGCTCAAACCCACTCCTTAGGCCTCCGAGGCAATCTACCATCTTTCCTTAAGAACTTTTTAACTGACAGACATTTCCGTGTTCGAGTCAATAATGTGCTCTTCCCCGGACTTTGTCCATTACCTCTCTAAAGGCAACTTGTCACAGCCGGCTGAACCTTCTTAAAACCCTTGCTCATCTTTCATGGGGAACTGATCGTCAAACTCTCCTTCGTCTACATTCAGCCCTCATTTTATCGAAACTCAATTGTGGTGACCAGATCTATTCAGCAGCCTCTCCTGCTACTCTCTCTAGCCTTAACCCCACCCATCACCAAGGATTATGTTTATGCCTTGGTGCTTTTCGCTCTTCCCCTGTTGAGAGCCTCTATGCAGAAGCGAATGTTCCATCCTTGTCTGATCGCCGTGATGCCCATTGCCTTCGCTACTATGTGCGCTCTCAAGATCTCCGCAATCCTTCCATTTATAGAATGGTCACTGATATTAGTAGACATTCTTTATTTGTTCACCACCCCTGTTTGCTCTGTCCCTTTTCTCTTCGCCTACATTCACTCTTGTCTTCCCTTCAGTTACCCCCTTTATATGTTCATGTAGCATCTCACTTTTCCCTACCCCCCTGGGAAGTTCCAGCTGTTCGGGTCTGTTCTTTCTCACTCCCTTGCTCGAAAGCCCAACTGCCTATGGTGGCTTCCCGCTCTCTTTTTCTTGACCACTTCCACTCTCATTCTCATGCCATCGCCGTGTACACAGATGGCTCTAAATCTTCTGACTGTGTCGGATTTGCAGCAGTGTTTCCAGACAGCGTCATGCAAGGGCATTTACTATCTTCGGCTAGCATTTTTACTGCTGAATTGTATGCCATTCTTGCAGTACTTATTCGTATCACATCTATGCCTGTTTCATCATTTGTGGTTGTCTCAGACTCCCTTAGAGCTCTACAGGCTATATGGAAATTTGATGCACCTCACCCCCTAGTTCTCCGTATCCAACTTTGGCTATGCCGTATCTATACCAAGCATAAAGATATTGTTTTTTGTTGGATCCCTGGTCATGTTGACATACAGGGCAATGAACAGGCAGACACTGCTGCATGGTCAGCTGTACATGACCTACCAATTTCATATAGAGGTGTTCCATTTCTGGACTATTTTGCTGCAATAGCTACCTACCTTCACACCCGTTGGCAACAACATTGGTCTGCTCTGCTCAGTAACAAACTTTGTTCTATTAAACCGAGTATAGGTTACTGGCCGTCTTCTTGTCACCAGTGTCGAGGTTGGGAGACTACTCTCTCCCGCCTTCGCATTGGCCATACTCGTCTTACTCATGCATATCTCATGGAGAGGCGCCCTGCTCCTCTCTGTGAGAATTGTCAGGTTCCAGTAACGGTCAGCCACATTCTGTTAGACTGCCCACTTTATCAACGAGCATGCGGAATTTACCTCCAACGTCGTCTTCGCTCCGCTGCTCTCTCTTTACCTTCCCTTCTCGCTGATGGACCCACCTTTCATCCGGACTCTCTCATTGACTTTCTGACAACAACTGACTTACTCCACAAACTCTGATGATGATACCTTCATCCCTTTCTACCTCAATCTCTTGCTACCCTCTACCCCCACGCTATCTCCTGCCCCGCTGTTTTCTGTAGCCTACTAATCATTCCTCCCCCCTTCTGCCGCCTGATACCCTCAATCCTTCCCTACCCTGCAGCGCTGTATAGCCCTTGTGGCTTAGCGCTACTTTTTTATTATAATAATCTGGAACTGTGAAGCGCAAAGTTCCATACAAAGATTTTTGTAATTTTTTCATGTACTAGGGGATGGCTACTGACATTAAGCTCAAGGATTATATGATGTCCAAGTATAAAGAAAGAATTAAAGAAAAAAAAGACTCAATATATTGAATGTTATCGATTTCATCGAGTGAAAATAGGGGGTGCTGCATTTCTGCAGTGCCGATACACAAGCTGCTACTGGGGAGTATAACTGACTGTTTGCTCCAGATTTTCCAAAAATCGGGTGTTCACATTCACCCTTCTCCCTGTCCCATCGTAATAACTAGTCATAAGTTTGCCTGTGATACTACAATATAGAACCTGTGTATTGTGCCAAAACAAAAGCATTTACATTGCTAAACTCACAAACTATAATGTAGTCACTTAGCCTTAGTACTAACTTACTCCATAATCTGTATTAATTTAGAGTTAAGAATTAATCTAAGTCTGCCCGAAATGCCTAGCCATTCCAGGTGTCCTAGTGGCCCCCTCTGTAATTAGTATTTTATAACATGTAAACCACGCAATATCCAAAATCTGTAAACCCCACATTGTAATCTATATAGAGAATAAACTTGATTGATTGATTGATATATGCCTATGTTTTCTAGGCTCACCCAGAAAACGAAACACATCTAATCTGACGTGAGTCTTCCACTGGACTCTGGATCTCAGTTTCTGTTGGAGAGTAAAGAAATTTTATGGCCTTTATCTTATATTTCATTTATCGTCATCGTGATATGTTATAATTTTTTTTATTGTTAAAGGACAATCGAACGTAGCTAAATTAAACTTAACCTAAGTAACGCAAATTGAGAAATTTGCTGCAAACCGTATATAAAAAATCCACATAGACTATGCAAGGATGAGTTGCATAACTTACAAAGTTCTCATATATGCTAGCAAGTCCGCTACTTTTCATCACCATTCTTATTGCAACTATTTGTTGATCATAATCATTCCCACATGGGTGTCCCTTCACTTCCCTGTTTTCCTCTTTTGATTGCCTCTTTTTTATATAGTTTATGTTTATTTCACTTAGATTTAAAGCCTGACTTTAGCATGGTTACCTCTCACCTTCAGAATGTGGCACATAACAAATGACTGCTACCCACTAACTTATTTACTGGAAGTTAACAGGGAAGGAGAGATGTATGAAGACTTGCCCCTATGTCTCTTCTTGCCTAGGGGGTCAAATCCAAGACATTTCGTTAATTTTTACATACTGAATTTGAAGACAAATAGCTGCTATCCTACTTAAGATGATTTAAGTACCAAACTCAAAGGTACATGACTACTGCAGCAGGATGCAAAACAACAGTCGGTTAACACTCAGGTACCTGGTGGGATGTCGAAGTGTCGTGAACACTTCTAATTGGTAGCAGGAAACTCTTATGTACACAAAGCCAGGAAAAGATTGCATCTGAGAACCTCATTGGAATACCAAGACCAGTTATTTTCCTGTCAGTGTACATGTGGGTTTCCTTCTACCATTCATGTATCTGTTGTCTCCTTGGTGTACTTGGGCAACAGATGTAAGATAAGGTGCCCACGGTCTCTCAACTACCCCATGACTGAACCAAGGAGAAGGTGCTACCACTGAACTTTGTGTCAACACATTGTGAGTTGAAGACTCAAATGTGTCTTCCTTATTATTTTAGCTGTAGGTGGTGGGAGAAGGAAAGTTGGAAGGGGTTAGATGTACAGTACTTGAAAAAATTCAAGAAATAAGCATAAAATACATATCGGAGGACAAATGGCGCAAAGCCAACAAGTAGAAAGAAAAAGAATTAGAGAAAGGTACTTGACTGAGCCGTCTCTCCTGTGCAACAGGCGAAAGAAGTCAGTTTTACAGGTTAAACGCCTCATAGTTCCTTTCTGAAAACAAATAACATACCTGAGAACAGCGCCCCAATAAGCCAAGTTGAATATCATGAAGATAATAAGAATCCAGATTCTGCTTTTCTCCATGAGAGGCATGTTAACGTCAGGGTTATTTGCCCAGTTTTGCCTCCGTATAGCTCGGTGGTATTTTGGTACTCTTTGCCCTACGTCACACTCTCCCTGCTCCGCGGGTGACCCCTTACTGTCACTCATCCATCTTCCTGTCTGGGGTGTGGGAACACTGTCTTCACGCTCCTCGAGGCTCCTCACTCTAATTTGGATGCTGGCGTTCGGATTATAATCTTTGACAGATGTCGACTCGCTTGCATTTCTTAACTTTTTTGCAATTTTGCTGTAACACGTGTATATATTTCTCTGGAAAAAAACCACAAAACAAAATTATACTTTCTTGTAAAACAGAATTGTAGCCAAGTTATAAGAAGTCTGTTTCATTTAAAAAGTTGTTACTATCAAATGAGCAATTATTAATGGTTTATAATGAGTTAGTTGCATATAGATAACGAATACAGTTGTTGTTTTTTGTTAAATTTTAAGCCTGTCAACTACACGAGAGTTATTATCACTACATTTTGCCTGTACACAACCAGTGAGGAATGTCGAAATCTGTAAATTAGGGGTGGGAAACAGCTGATGTGTGACATTATATATATATATATATATATATATATATATATATAATATATATATATATATATATATATATATATATATATATATATATAATATATATATATATATAATATATATATATATATATATATATATATATATATATATATATATATATATATATATATATATATATATATATATAATATATATATATATATATATATATATATATATATATATATATAAATATATATATATACATCGGCCGTGTCCCACCGAGGCAGGGTGACCCAGAAAAGAAGAAACACTTTCCCCATCACTCACTCCATCACTGTCCTGCCAAAGGCGTGCCAATACTACAGTTCAAAAACTGCATCATATCTCCACCTCTCCTTCAGAGTGCCGGCACTGTAACTTCCACCTCCAGGAATCCCTTCATACATGTCACTTTGCTCACACTCTAACAGCATATCAAGTCATTTGTTTCCGCCCATTCCTGTCTAACACGCTCACGCACGCTTGCTAGAAAGCTAAATTCCTGGCACACAAAACCTCCTCTACCTCCTCCCTCCAGCCTTTCCCAGGACGACCCATACCCCGCCTTCCATCCATCACCGATTTATATGCTCTCGAAGTCATTTTATTTTGGTCCACCCTTTTTAAATGTCAAAACCGCCTCTACAAGTTTTTTTTCAGCCCTCTGAATAATAGTCTCAGTAACCCTGCACCTCCTAGTCTCCAAGCTGCGGATTCTCTACATGGTTTTGAAAATGCGGATGTTCCCTGATCGCTGAAGGTCTATCTAGCAGTGACTTGTCTTAAAAAAAATATGTAAATGTTGAGCAGTTGGGTCCCTGAGCTACACTTCGTCTTACCTGGAGTTTACCTGGAGAGGGTTTTGGGGGTCAACGCCCCCGCGGCTCGGTCTGAGACCCGGCCTCATGGTGGATCAGGGTCTCATCAACCAGGCTGTTACTGCTGGCCACATGAAAGCTGGCGTACGAACCACAGCCTGGTTGGTCAGGTACTGACTGTAGGTGCCTGTCCAGTGCCTTCTTGAAGACAGCCAGGGGTCTATTGGTAATCCCCCTTATGTGTGCTGGGAAGCAATTGAATAGTCTTGGGCATCGGACACTTATTGTGTTGTCTCTCCGTGCACTCGTGGCGCCCCTGCTTTTCATTGGGGGAATTTTGCATCTCCTGCCGAGTCTTTTCCTTTCATACGGAGTGATTTTCGTGTACAGGTTTGGTACCAATCCCTCCAGGACCTTCCGAGTGTATATTATCATGTATCTCTCTCGCCTGCATTCCAGGGAATACAGATCAAGGACCTTCAACCGTTCCCAGTATCTAGGTGGCTGGCAATATTGCTTCTTAGAACCCTCTCAAAGAGTTTTATGATATGGGATGTTAGTGCTATCGGCCTGTAGTTCTCTGCAATTGCTTTACTGCCACCTTTGTGGAGTGGGACTATGTCTGTTGTTTTTAGTGTGTGTGGGATGTCCCCTGTGTCCATGCTCCCTCTCCATAGGATGCTGAAGGCACGTGATGGGGCTTCTTGTAATTCTTGATGAATACGGAGCTCCATGAGTCTAGGCCTGGAGCAGAGTGCATGGGCATGTCATTTATTGCCTCTTCAAAGTCTTGTGGATTTAGGATAATATCCGAGATTTTTGAGATTTCCAAATTTTGGGTTTCGTTCATAAAGAATTAATTTGGATTGTCGACTCTTAGTCTGGGCAGTGGCTCACTGAACACTGAGTTATATTGTGACTTTTGTGTCTCACTCATTTCTTGGCTGTCATCTGTGTATGTACCATCCCGCCTAAGCAGGGGCCCACTACTGGATGTTGTTTTTCCCTTAGATTTTGCATAAGACAAGAAGTATTTTTTTCTTTTTTTTCAGTTTCCTTTATGGCTTTTAGTTCTCCCTGTGATTCTTGTCTCCTATAAGATTCGTTCAGCTCAAGTTCGATATTTGCAATTTCTTTGACTAGTGCCTCCCTTCGTATTTCAGATATATTGGCCCCTCTCAGCAGCTCTGTGACTCTTTGCCTTCGTCTGTGTAGGAAGTGTCTCTTTCTAGTTTACATCTTCTCTTTCTTTTTCTTAATGGAATGTGTCTTGAGCAGATCTCAAGAACCACAGAATTTATTTTTTCAAGACAAATGTTCGGATCCGTGTTGTTTAGGATATCTTCCCAGCTTGTTTAATTGAGGACATGGTTTACTTGATCCCATTGTATGTTTTTGTTATTAAAATTGAATTTCGTGAAGACACCCTCATGACTGCTCACATTTTGCTGGTCCAGAGCCCTATGCATACATGTTTGTACTTTTATTATGTTGTCATCTGAGTGTATTGTCTTTGATACGGTTATATTACGTATCAGATCGTCGTTGTTAGTGAAGATGAGGTCCAGCATATTTTCTAGTCTTGTAGGCTCTACTATTTGCTGGTTTGAGGTGAATTTGTTGCAGAGATTTAATAGTTCGCGTGTGTGTGAATTTTCATCTGAGCTGCTTCCCGGGGTGATCTCTGCTAAAACATTATTTGCTATACTCCTCCATTTTAGGTGTCTCAGGTTGAAATCTTCTATTAATATGGAAAATTTCTTAGGGCTGATTACCTTTATGTACCTCAACATTATATACATACAAGTAATCTCATTGGTAGACAACCCTATATTGTTTACCGTAGTCACCCCGTGTAGATATGTGAGAAAACGTCACCACCTCTGGTCGCTGGAGGTGGGCCTTCGACCTCACAGTCTTATCCATATCTATCGGAGACCAGTATAGATTGGATAGCACCCACAAGTACGGCGCTACTAATTAACTGTGGACTGTATAGATTATATTAGTGTAACTGAATGAAGAGGGGAGGGGTAGGTTACACATGGATATATCCATCACAGAAAAACATTTGTATATAATCCCACCACTTACCAAATATTCCCTGGGGGTCACTTGATGTAGCTGGATCACCCATAACCTATCCAATTACAACATACCTAACTGACCAGTATCAGTCTGCTATAACTAGAAGGGTTACTTAACTGTGGGTGATTGATACTCCTTATTTCCTCCATTCACCATCTCATTTCGATGTCCTGCTACACCGACATGGTTCTTATTCCAGCAGGACGAGGTATCCGTTGGTTTGTCCCGGTTTAGAAGTCGTGACTCAATGAACTTCACTTTCCTCGTGACGGAAACAACGTGGTCTAGCGTGTTCACTCGGAGCAAGGCGACTTATTTCACTTCACGCATTCTCTTAACTTAGCGTTATTATCATTAATTACATTACAATTCACAAGACGATTTAATGTCTCATAATTATTATACACATTAGAGATCACTCCATTAAGATCTGAGACCGATGAGTGATGATTAAGCCAAGGGTAATTTTCCCCGGGACACAGTCCATGGTGACGCGCCAGTCACCCGGTCCTACCCTTATTCACTCATTTTACCACTCTATTACGGTGGTCCCGTAAATCACGTTCCCTCACTCTCCACCAGGAACAGTTACGACACTTCCTATTATGAAATGAGGCCTATATTAATCCTTAGGCCGCCGTGAACGCCAATTTCCTGGTTCCACGCTTTCCCAGCCTCCTCACTACATTCAAAACACTCCCGCCTCCCCCATGCCCCGAGTCGACCTCTACCCCCGCACATCCGCGCATGCGCAAAGGGAACTCTTGGTTCTGTCCTATTGTCAAATACATTTTTGACTCATATCGACACATTAAACACCTATTAGGCACTATAGTTTCGGAAAATTAAAATATTTTCCACAATTAGTAAGATGTTTGGGCAGGAGTTGGGAGATTTTCCAGACAGTGGTCAATTTTCACAAGCAGCTCCTGGAATTGCTGGGAAGTTGCTTGTGGAGGCTTGTATACCACCACAATCACAAGGTTTTGGTTTTCAATAATTACCTCCTAAACTTCAACTACATCATTTGAGGTGTTTAGTAGTTCTGTGCAAATGAGCGACTCTGTGACGTACAGACCAACCCTCCCTTGTTGCCTGTTTAGTCTGTCTTATCGGAATAGGTTATAACCTGGGATTGATATTTCGTTGTCATAATGATCCTTTATGTGGGTCTCTGTGAATGCCGGAAACACTGCATTTGACTCCTCGAGCAGCCCTTTGATGTAGGGAATTTTGTTTCCTGACGGCTTCAGATCCTGTAGATTTGCAAAGACGAATGTCGTTGTATTGGTGGAATTTGGGGTTTTTTATTTGCTGGCTCTATTATCTGTTGTTCTGGAGTAGAGGCCAATGTCCGTGCCACTGCTCCAGAAGTGTTTTCAGTTGGTGTAGGATTATTGTCATTTCTTGCCAGTTTTTTTTCCTCCTGGCCAAAAAAGAGCTCTGTCCCTATGGGGGTTGTGGCTCCCCTCTTTTGTTTCCCATAGTGTGGCTGGTTTGTGTCTTCTAGTCCCCTTTAGGTGATGTGTCTGGCAGTATCCATTGTAGCATTTTCTTTCATGGATTGACGAGTGGCACATTTCTGGGTGAAATAAGTTACAGGAGGGGAATTTGCACTCTCCTGTAACTTAGGCATCATCCCCTTTTGGTGTATCTCCAGCAGTATATCTATTTTGAACCTCTGTGGACTGAATAACGTTGTCTTCACTGTCCTCCAGGACATCACTTGCAACCTCACGAGCGTTGTCTTCCATGACATCACCAGAACCCTCTGGAGCACTTTCCTCCAGGACAGCACTA